GGTCAATTGCATATTACCCTTTTATTATATAAGATAGAGGCCTGGTGCACGAAGTGAGGGCTGGCTGGTTTGCCCTGAAAGGTGTCCCAGATCAGGGTGGGGGTCCCGTTGGGGTGCCTGGCCAGCCTGGGTGAAGGGCTGAGGGCTGTTTTCAGGCCTGCCCACAGCCCCTTCAGTGTGGGGCTCCCCACTGGGGTGCCTGGCCAGCCTGGGTGAGGGGCTAATGGCTGTTTGCAGGCTGGCCACATCCCCTTCAGGGTGGGGGTCCCTGCTGGGGGGCCTGGCCAGCCTGGGTGAGGGGCTGATGGCTGTTTGCAGGCTGGCCACATCCCCTTCAGGGTGGGGGTCCCCACTGGGGTGCCTGGCCAGCCTGAGTGAGGGGCTGATGGCTGCAGGCTGGCCACAGCCCCTTCAGTGTGGGGCTCCCCACTGGGGTGTCTGGCCAGCCTGGGTGAGGGGCTGAGGGCTGTTGGCAGGCTGGCCACATCCCCTTCAGGGTGGGGGTCCCTGCTGGGGGGCCTGGCCAGCCTGGGTGAGGGGCTGATGGCTGTTTGCAGGCTGGCCACAGCCCCCAGCCACCCAAGCTCCCAGTGGAGGCTGGCTGGAAGCAGGTATCTGGGATTTATTTTTCTTTTATAATTGAAACTTTGTTGCCTTCAACAGAGGCCAGAGCCAGCCAAGGCAGGCGGGAAGCTTGGCTTCCTCCATTGCCGGGGCAACCAAGCCTCCTGCTTGATCCAGCTCTGTGGCTGCTGGCCGCCATCTTGGTTGGGTTAATTTGCATATAGCCACTGATTGGCTGGTGGGCGTGGCTTGGGGCATAGCAAAGGTACAGTCAATTTGCATGTTTCTCTTTTATTAGATTAGATACTAGAGGCCCGATGCACAAAGATTTGTGCAAGAATAGGCCTTCCTTCCCCTGGCTGCTGGCACCGCCTTCGCTCCGGCCCGGAGCTGCCTCCTTTCACCTCTCGCCTTCTCGTCAATTTGCATATTCCCTCCTTATTGGCTGTGGGCGCCTCCATCTTTATCACAAAGTGACAGTTAATTTGCATAGTACTCTTTTATTAGATAGGGTAATCTTGACCAAGCAGGTGTCCACTTTTTTGTATGATTTTTGGCACTAGGTTGACAAAATACAACTTGTGAAAAATGTTGATTGCACAAAGTTTCGCAGTGTTCTTGACTGTGGTGAGCTATTTTCAGTGAAAGTGCAGTTGGTCAGCCTGATGCCACCAACATACACGCTGGCACAGTGAGTGGTTTTGAATACCTCAGGAGAATAGGAAAGTGATGGAAGAGAAAGAGGATTTGGTGAAGAATTTCAGCTTCGAGGAGTGTGGGTGAAGCAACTTCTGCTCTCAGTGAGGCTGTGGCATCTCTCCCGGTGAACTGCAGAATCTCCTGAAGGTGGTTTTATTGCAGTCAATTTCCAATCTTGAGGAACTTGAGCTTTTTTTGAAAACAAATGCCATCTGGTACATTTATTTCAGAAGGTAAGAAGAAAGTGCTAGGACTTAATACTTCCAAAGAAAAGCTAATACTGCTTTTATTTATTTTTATTTATTTGTTGTTGTTAATCCTCACCTGAGGATATTTTTTAAAAGTGATTTTTAGAGAGTGGAGGGGAGAGAGGAGGAGGAGAGAAACACTGATGTGAGAGAGACACAGTGATAGGTTGCCTCCCACAAGCACCCCGACCTGGGGGTGGGGGCAGGGATCGAGTCTGCAACCAAGGTACATGCTCTTGACCAGGAATCAAACCTGACACCCTTCAGTCTGTGGGCTGCTGCTCTAACCAGTGAGCTAAACTGGCCAGGGCTAGCTAATACTTTTACCTAGAAATTGTGAGGGTGATTTAAACTCAAATCTTTGCTGGTATACCATTCCAGAACCCCCAGGGCCCTCATGTAATGCTGAGGAGTGCATGGCCTGCTACTTCGTGTTCAAATCTATATACCATATAAAGAAGGAAATGCTCCACACAGGCTTCTTTGATTAAGGATGATGCTTTGGACATTCTTCTGGAGCGTTCAGTTACAAATATCTGTGCGGTCTTTTGGCTTCTCTACTTCCTTTTGTAGCCTTTATACCGAGGAGTCGCCACAACCTTCAATGCACATCAGCTGATGACAAAGCATCTGAGGTGGAGTGTTGACAGGAGACTGTACTTTGATGAAGGATTCATGGAAGAGTTTACCATAAAGGCATCTGCTGCACTGGTTAGACTTGGAAAGAAGTGTCACTACAAATGATAAATGAAATAGGGAAGAGATGCCTCCTGAAATTTTCTGCCAACATTAAAGGTTTTGAGGAAGTGACTATTCAAAGCAAAGTCTTTCATTTTGCTAAGGAGCCTGGAGTAAGCAAAGTGAACAGTAAAAATGTTGAAGAATTACTAGCTCACTAATGAAGAGCAAAGAACTTACTAAGAAGCTCTTTAAAATTGATGGTCGTTATTGGTCTGAGGCAGGGGAGCTCCATTATCGAATGCCAAACCTTTAAAACACAACTACAGGCAGAATCTTAGGCCGTCGGGATCTCTAAGATAAGGCATCGAGGGAATGCAAACAAGTGTTCATTTTGTGTTTTTTTGTTTTTGTTTTTTGTTTCAGCTTCCAAAGATGGTTCTTAACCATCTACTTCTGGAGTATGTAATGCCAAGGAGGGACTGTCCGCCAGTGTCTCAAATTCGGACAGTGGGTAAGTCTCTGACCATTGCTCCCTCACTCCTACACTGGCTCCCTCTTGCTCAGTCTCCCCACCCCCATGCCCTCTGTCCACTTCCCTCCTCTTGCTTCCAAATGCCACTCCTCAGGCAACTCTTCATTGGGATCTAACCAATTAAAAAAAGGCTTTGTTTACTGTGTTTACTAAATGTCAATTGCACTCAATATGTATCTTCCTTCACACATTATTTCACCACCTATTTTTATTTCAAAGAAGTGAACTGAAGCAAGGTGCAGTTTTTATCTAATACTGCATAATATTGTGTATTCTACACAAATATGCCTACCAATTAGCTCACTGACAAATAATTAGGTAATTGATGTTTTAAATGCTTTCTATGATACAAAAATCCTTGCTAAATACTAAATGGACTGTTATGTGCTTCAGTAATTGGTTGAAGTTCTTGGACAAGCAGAGACATGTAATTTTTTCCATTTAAAGTAATGGAACGTGGTGTCCTGCACCCCCAGATCTGCTTTCCAGCACTCTCTCGGGAACAGATTGGATGTGGGTAAGGAGACGCCTGTGCATGAAGTGCTGCTTTGGGAGCTGTCGAGTCCACATACTGTAACTGTTAGTGTCTAGAGGTTAGAGTAAAACAGAGGTTCCCTGTTGCCGGACTCATCTATCCAAGCTCCTCACTGAACAGACGAGGATGCAGAGTGGGGCCTGGAGGCGAGGAGCTGGGGCCAGTCGCGGTCAGTGCCGACCGAGGACAGAAGCTGATGACCGGGCACAGGGCTCTCTTCTTCTCCCCTCTGTAATTTCCTTTTTAAAACACTAATAGTTCTCTGGTTTGGGGAGCACCATGCCCTTTAAAACTTTCCAATTAATGGCCAATTACAATAAAAGGACTCTTTACCTCGCCCTGAGCTTGGCTTATTGTAGGAGACTCAATAAATATTTTTTGGCGAAATCAGAATTCTGAGGTCAAACTGTTAAAGTTCATCTTGGTCACTCCTCTCCCGTGAAGAAACCCAGCGGCTCAGAATCACTTCCTGTAACCAATCAAAACAAAAGACCAATAAATTTCAAAAACAGAAATGAAAGAACATGCTAGGCATGTGACATCACAGCTACTTTTCACAGAAAGCTATTACATAATGAGGACATATGTTCCCATTTCTTGTAACTGGACATTTGGAGGACAGTGAATGTAGCAATATAAACTTTACATGCAAGTGGTATCTACCGTAACTGTGGAAAGGTTTTGAAAGCTAAACTTGCCTCAGCTGAGGGATTCTACTAGCCCCTTCCAGGATCAGAAGTGCCAGTACAAAAGCTCCTATTTAACATCGGAACCAAGTCTACGATGGCGCTGATATATCCAGGTCAGCACTGAGAGGACAGAAATGGATCTGGACTGGCATTTTATGAAAAGTTAACCTAGTGGGGATGGCAGGACAAACTGAAGGGATGAGACGCTGGGGTCCTCGAGCAGGTCTGCAGTGGGATGGGGCAGTGAGACCCAGAGGAAGGGTGCAAGGTTAGAGAAAAACAATGAAGTACTGGATGTGGAGGAGGGTCAGACAGGGCGAGAGATGGAGATATTCAACACTGGATGACTGGACAATGAACTTGGCAGTCCTGGCAGAGAAAGCGACCAGGGGAGACTCAGCTCAACAGAGAACCCCAGAAGCCAGATGAGAAGTTCAAGGAAGGAATGTCAACAGTGACACTCCTAGCTTCTGAGAATGCGACTGAGGAGAGGTCTGGCCTGGCCAGGGGGTCCCAGGCCGCCTGGGACGGCAGTTTCAGCTGGTGGTGAGGACAGAAACCAGATCACATCGCAGGTATGGAGACAGCAGGAATTAAGGGGGAGTGAGAGTGGGTTTAGCAGGGAAGGCCCGAGAAAACCTTCTTTCCAAGGCAAGATGGGCTCATTCGTTTTCCTGGGAGCACGTGATCCAGAGGACGCGATGCAATGGACAGAATCTTTGGGATGAACTGAATGACCTCTAAGTTACACACCTGAACTTTAATTCTCTTCATGCATTCTGGGGATTCCATTTCTTTGTCAGTCATGGTAGAGGGTTTAATCAGATAACACAGCAGGAGTTCCTATTGAGAAATAAAAACATCTCCATATCCCACAAAGTAATAATACAAATCTGAGTGTGTCAGCAGGAAATGCAGTCTCCACTCCCGCTCACCATGTGCTCCTGGAAACATCACATAGCACAGCAGTGTCCTCCTGGGAGCATCATAGCTGGGCTCATACTTTAGACCAGTGGTTCTCAACCTTCTGGCCCTTTAAATACAGTTCCTCATGATGTGACCCAGCCATAAAATTATTTTCGTTGCTACTTCATAACTGTAATGTTGCTACTGTTATGAATCGTAATGTAAATATCTGATATGCAGGATGGTCTTAGGCGACCCCTGTGAAAGGGTCGTTCGACTGCCAAAGGGGTTTCGACCCACAGATTGAGAACCGCTGCTCTAAAGACCTACCATTTAGATATTGTTGACATGTCAAGAGAATGCAAATAAAGTAAATAAAGTATATATATATTGGTTATAAACATAAAATTTAATATGTTAAATGTTTGCTCAAAAAGTCTATACTGTTTTGCTAGAAACAGTATAGACTCCCATATTTCTATAGGACAAAACTACTTTTCCTAGGCTACAGCCTAAGCAACTGCCCTGGCATTGAAGACAGCTGTCACCTGGCCCCTCTGGACTCGCCAGTCTCAGCTCTCACACTCCCAGCAGCAGTGGGACAGATGGGAGGGGGCCCACAACTTGTTTCAGTTAGCAAACTACTGAATCACAGAGAACACACAGAGCGTCCAGCCTTTATAGTCCTGGTGACTTCCTCCCTATCTTGATGGCAGCAGGAAACAGAGCACAGCCGGGCAGTCAGCTGGCTCTCCGTTCGAATCCCACTTCTGCATTTGAGCTGCATGATCATGGATTTCTCACTCAACATCTCTGACACTTTGATTCCTCACTTTTAGGATGAGGATAAGAAATGGTGGTGAGAAACATGCAATGTGTTTATAGCAATAAATATTAATTCCCTCCCTGCCTTTTCAAGAGATCTGCGAACTTTGAAAAGAAACGTGTCAATGTTTGGACTCCTTTGTGAATGTGTGGGTGAATTTTTGAGCATGTGCTGGCTGTGCTTACCAAAGGCACCCCAGAGAAGAAAGGCAATGCCCACCAACATCAATCACTATGGGAAACTTCGAAGCTCAATTCCTGGAGCTTAGAACCAGGTGGTGGTGGGAGGGACATAAGGGGGAGGAGAGCTTCTAGCCCAATCTTCCAGAACTTCACTGGTACAAACACTTTGAAGTTTCTCCAAATGACTTTTCTATTTCTACTACATTTAAGAAGAAAAAAAAAATCCAACCATTTAAGTGACCGATAATGCCAGAGCTGATGTTACCTTGGAGACATTCACTGAAACTCTGCTCAAGGTAGCCAGTGACTTCCAACTGAAAGGTCTTCGAAGAGAGCCCTCAAAATGGTCATCAACTAACTCAATAATGACAGAATAACTGGAAAACACACAACGGGAGTTTTAAAAATAAAACATATGAAATCAATCCATTTAAAAAGAATATTGTTTTTCCTACCAAGAACAAAGCTACAAAAAAATGTACATCATCTGATCCTAATTTCCCTAGACTGCTGAGAAAGTACTAATGAAAAACTCACACTTCATGTTATAAAATTTTAGACTGATTTCAACACATATAGGAAAGGAACAGAAATATTTCTCCCAATATGAAAGCTGAGAATTCACTCAATGGTTTGGATACTAATACTCACTGATATTAAGATGAACAGTTACTACATAGAGTAACTCAACGTTTAATACTAAAAGACAGATTATCATAACCATTTATTATTTTATATATAGTATAACACTGTTGGTGGATAAGGCACAAACGCATAGTATTAATCCTTATCAGGCCAACAGGAACATGACTAATTGATTCTGTGGCACTAAAAATTAAAGTGGAGGCCAAAAATGTCATGTCCCTTTAAGTCGCTGACATTTAAAAAACCACTCCAGCCTGGCCGCGTGGCTCAGTGGCTGAGCATCAACCTATGAACTAAGAGGTCATGGTTCGATTCCCGGTGAGGACACATGGCCAGGTTGTGGGCTCAATCCCGTGTGAGGCCAGAGATTCTCTCTCACCATTGGTGTTTTTTTTTCTCTCTCTCTCCCTCTCCCTTCCTCTCTTAAATCAATAAAAATATATTTAAAAAAATCACTCCAAACCTTGCATGGTAAAATGGAGGTCCTTTTCGATACAGCACTGCAAAGAAAAGGAAAGAAAATGTATAACCATGTGAAATAAAAATCTTATTTTATTACTTAAGTTTTTTCCTGCTCCACAGAGATACAAACACCCAATTAGCTATATGTGGGTAATCTGCAATATGCTCTGTAGTCTATTTTTAAAATCCAAACTGTTTTTCCCCCTGGAATGAAATGCAATTAGTAAAGCAAATCTGTTGCCAAGATCCTAACACTCTCCTCCCATCCCACCCCACAAATGAATTCTAAAGTCAAGTAAAAGTAATTCTTATCTTGCTGCTTGTTTTATACTCTCTGGAGTGAGCGCTTGAAAGTGTATTAAGAATGTGAAATTTATATAAAGTAGATAAACATTTTTATTTCTTAAATATTTTGTTGATTTCAGAGAGAGAAGGGAGAGAAACATCAATGATGAGAATCATTGATCAGCTGCCTCCTGCATGCCCGCTAGTGGGGATTGAGCCCATAACTTGGATAAGTGTCCTGACTGGGAATCGAACCCTGACCTCCTGGTTCATGGGTCGATGCTCAACTACTGAGCCACACAGGCCAGGTGTGGATGAACATTTTGTTATTCGTGTCAAATCAATGTAATTCAAAGTGTCTGAGCTAATGTGGCCAGTACCGACTTAGATGTTGGTGCTAGATATGAACAAGGCTCATGCCTATTTTTAAGAAATTCAAAGTCAAGTGGGGAAAAGAAATCACAAAACCATACACACCACTCAGAGATCGGTCTGCCCTACTACAGCAGTGCCCGCTCCCATGCGTGAGGACATGTTCCAAGATGCCAGTGGACGCCTGAAACCAAGCCCCTATATATATGTTTTTTCTTACACATACATACCTGTATTAAAGTTTAATGTACAAATTAGGCGCAGTCAGAGATTAACAACAATAATTAATAATAAAATAGAACCATTATAATGGCTTTGGGCCATTATTAAGGTAAAATAAGTGTTACTTGAACACGAGCACTGTGATACCCCAACCGCTGATCTGACAGCTACTAAGTGACTAATGGGTGGGGATCATCTACAGCGTGGAGACGTGGAGACGCTGGACAAAGGGATGATTCATGTCTTGGGCGGGATGGAGCGGGACAGCAAGGGACTTCATCATGCTACTCAGAATGATGCACAATTTAAAACTTATGAATTATTTCTAGAATTTTCCATTTAATATTTTCAGACCGACATTGACCACATGTAACTGAAATTGAGAAAAGCAAAAGGTCGGGTAACAGAGGACCACTGGTAATTCAGTGTGTGGAGGTCAGGAGCTGCTGCTGAAAGCATGGGGCCAGGGACTCTGCCCCGAGGTCCTGGAACTGCGGGAGCCCTTCGGAGGGAGGCGAACACCACACCTCACCGGGTAGAAAGATTAAAGGAGACGAGAGCAGGAAAGCACCGAGGCAAGCTCTGGTCAAAGGAGCCAGCACCACGGGAGCTTCTGGGTGGGAATGTAAAGAAAGGCTCCCCCGTGGCCCCCGTGGCTTCCAGTCTCCTTTTCACCACTGGGTGAGCAAGGTCAACTAGCCGCGCAGCTGCACTTGATTTGAGATCCCTATCACTTGTTCCAAGTACTGCTCCTGGAATGAAATTTGATTGACAAGATTTATTCAAGGAAGAGTTTCCCTGATAAGATGTGAATTTCATAACGGCCCTTTGTCATGAGTCATTAGCTCTGTAAGCAGAAACAACTGTTAAAAGAATGTCCTGGGTTTAACCCGGGCTGGCAGTTCTGAGGTACATGTGATTAGGTCACTAGCCTTCAAAACTAAAATAATATTGTTAAAAACCAGGCACTGAGCAGCTGTGCCTGGAGAAGGGGTAAAGCTTAGGAAGCGTTCCTCCCATCCCAGGCTAGCACTGCTGGTGAACCCTTGCTAACGCAGGAACTGGGAAGACACCCTTCGTGTGGCTGCTGGGCCAGAGGCCTGGTCTCACATTAATTATACAAGCGGCTCCAAGTGCATGATAGGCCCCAGCTGTGGCAAAGGCCTCCGGGGAGTTGGGAAATAGCAGTTGATTTATTTCTTTTCTTTTCTTTTTAGAAAATCCGCCTGCTTGTCCGTTCTTTCATTCATCCTTATAAGGCAGTTTATTTTTAAATTAGGAAAGTTCTTGCCCGGCCGGTGTGGCCCAGTGGCTGTGTCGACCAATGAACCAGGAGGTCAAGGTTTGATTCCCAGACAGGGCACATGACCAGGTTTCAGGCTCGATCCCCAGAAGGGGGCGTGCAGGAGACAGCCAATCAAGGATTCTCTCTTATCATTGATGTTTCTATCTCTCCCTTCCTCTCTCTGAAATCAATTAAAAAAAAAAAAGATGTTGTTTTACAAAGCAGGTATTGTTACCCATGTTATATGAAGAGCAAACGAAAGCTTGGAGAGATGAAGAAACTTGCGTAGAGCCAGCTGTGACCCAAAAGAGTGCTCTTTCCATCACCCCATGCCACCTCTTAATGCATCACTGTAGCCTTATCCACTGGAAAATTCTACTCAAATTTCACCCATAAATTGAGAAAGTTGGAGAAGACCTGCCAAGCATTTGCACTGAGTGGCTATTCTTTTGTTTTTCTTTTTTTTAAATCCTCACCCAAGGATGTGTTTTTATTGATTTAAGAGAGAGAGAAAGGGACGGGGGGAGAAAGAAAAACATGGATGGGAGAGAGAAACTTCGATCAGTTGCCTCCTGTACCCACCCTGACCAGGGATCAACCCTGTGACCTTTCAGTGTATGGGATGATGCTCCAATCAACTGAGCCACACCGGCCAGGGCCTGAGTGGCTATTCTTACAGGAACATGAAAAGGAGAACAGGGCAGGAAGCCAATGAAGAAAAATGAAACGGGCACATCACTTATTTAAGCAACGTGACCTGTAGCCAACACAATGATCTGGAAACCTAGCAAACTAATCTCAAGCTCATTCTGAACATTTGTGCGGTAACTCTGAGTTAGGATATTTGTATCTGAAATCCAGGCATGGAAGAAACAAACCATTTATCTTAGCGATATGGGTGATTCCTAACCTTTATTTTAAATTGTTGGCCCCTTTGAGAATTTCATGAAAGCTACAGACTCTTGACCCAGAAAAACACACCAATCTATAAACACAATATTTTGAGTAAAATTTCAGGCGGTACCTTCCAGCCCCTGAAGACCATCGTCTGAGTCTAGGTTAAGCACACTCAACATTAGAGCACTTAAAGATTTAAAAGACTGAACTGGCTTCCTTTGGGGACTGACAAGGCTCAAAAGCATATGGGACAAGTAGCTGACAGAGCTCAAAAGGCCTCAAGGGCCAGGACTTCTGAGAAGGCCTCTCCAATATCTGGCCTATCTTCCCAATATCTCCAGGGGGCTTGCTTAATGTGTCCAAAACATTAAGCCAAATACCTAGGCATTCTCCCTGATTCCTCTCTTACCCACAAATCTCACATCCATTCCATGTGCAGGGCTGGCTGGGCTCAGCTTCCCTTACTAAGTCACTCTGCTTCATGTTTGCGCTCCTGCAGTCTTTTAGTAAGAGACGAGAAAGAGGATCCTATTATATTAAGTCACTAAATTTAAATCACTCAGTTGATCTAAATCTCCTAAGACGTCTAATCAGCAGAGTAACATCCAAAGTCTCTGCCAGGCCCTAGGGGAGCCGGCCCCAGCCTACACTCACTCTCCCCTGGACCTCTAAGTTCCAGACACAGTCTTCCTGTGGTTCCTGCCGCGGTTGTTCCTGCCTCCGGGCCTTCTCAATTGCTGTTCACTGTACCTAGCACGTTCTTCCCCAAATTCTCAAGGGAACTGCTCTCACTGTGGCCACATATTTTCAGAGTGCTTTCCTGACCCCTTTACCAGCTCCCTTGACTCTGCTCTATTTTCCTACAATACTTACAGCACCTGCAAATGCATTATGTATTTGTTTGCCTGTTTGTCTCCCCCTCCAAAAAGTAAGTTGTCCCATCAAGGCAGCTTTGTGCTTGTCTTGTTCACGTCTGTGTTCTTGGCCCACAGGAGACCTTTAGCAATTCTCTGTTGAATGAAGTGCTTACATGGCTCAGACTCCTCACTTCAAGTAAAGATCAGTGGAGGAAGAACTATGTAGAAGTTTCAGAGTCCGGGCTCCAACATTAAAAGCCCAGCTCTGTAAGTTACTGGCCCTGAACACTGTTAGGGGCAAATGACCATTCCCCCAAAACTGCAGTCTCCTTCTCAGAAAAATGAGGTTAACAGTACCCATTGCCCAGGACCGCCGTAAGCATTACATGAGCTAATGAATGCAAAACACTCACTGCAATGCTTGGCATGTACTGAATGATCAATCAGTGAGCTGTAGTTATTATTATAATGACTATTCTCATTTGCCAGATGAGGCAACTGTGGCCCAGAGGACAAGGGACTGCCCTATGTAACATGACCACATGGCTACTGGGAGGTGAGGGTAGGGAGATGGGGGTGCTGTAGGTTACAGAGCAGACAAGAGGAGAAACCTGACGTGGGTCTGCAAGCTTCTACTCCTGGGCTTTTCTCCTAGATTGTTCTTTCACTCACTCTGGACATACCCTAAACCCAATCCAAATATCCAGTATTCTTATTTAAGCCAGAAGGAAGCACCTCTTAGAAAAGATGAGCAACAGCACATATAACCAAATCTGATTTTCATCCTAGGATCTGATGCAAACCCTGGCTCTCACACCTACCAAGCCACGAATTACTTACGTAGGTCTGTTCCGTACTTAAGTCCCACTTTGGGCACCCAGCCCTTGCTCCGGAAGTAATGGTATGCCATATAGGTAGTCCTGAATGTGGGCTGAACTGCCGTGAAAACTTTCCAGAGTTTCATAATCGTTAAAGGCTCCTAAAGTTATTGAACAAAAATAGGCATTATTATGTATTTACTCACTCATCATTCATCCAGTGAATCAACATGTGTAAGTGTGAAGCTGGAGCAGTGAATAAAACAAACATGGTACCACCCTGGCCAATGTGGCCAAATGGGTAGAGCGTCAGCCCGAACACCAAAGGGTCAAGGTTCGATTCCCAGTCAAGGGCACATACCTGGGTTGCAGGTTCGTTCCCCAGTCCCAGTCGGGGGGGGAGGGGGTGTGCGAGAGGCAACCAATTGATGTGCCTCTCTCACATTGATGTCTCTCTCTCCCTCTCCCCCTACCGCTCTCGCTAAAAACCAATGGAAAAAATATCTTTTGAGGATTAACAACAAACATGGTACCCAGAACAGTACCCAGAACAGAAGGACTTAACTAGAAGAGCTAGACATGTGCTGTCCAATGAGGTACCTGAACTGTAAAATACACACAAAATTTCAAAAGCTTAGTATAAAAACAACTACCTCCATAATTTTGGACATGTTGGGTTACATAAACTATATATTATAAATTAATTTCACCTTAAAAAAACCACTTTTTAATGTGGCTACCAGAAAATTTTAGATTATATATGTGGCTCCTGTCTGAGGCTGCCCTGAAACAGTGACATCTGAGTGAAAGGGGGTGGTGGTGGCTGGGGAAGAACATTCCAGGCAGAGGAACGAGTACATTTGAACGGGGGGCTCAAATGTAACAAGTCCACAAGGCAGCATGTTCCAAAAGACCCTGAAGAGCAGCTACTATATGTCAGGCCATGCTCAGAAAAGCCACAAATAATTTTGTAAAAGCTTTAGAAGAATGCTCCATTTAGTTTTTGAAACTAGAGAATTTGTTATCTGATAGCACAAATTAATAATCCACTACTTATAAGAGAACTTTGTTTCTAATGTAGGACTTGAAGAGACTGAGAATGTTCGGTTCAGAGAACATTCTGATGTATCAATACAAAAAAAAATACAACAGTGAAAACCAGATAAGTTTGGGAAGTTTTCTGCTTCATTTCAGTGCTTAGTAAAATGGTCAATTCTTCAGTTGGTTTAAGGTTCAGTCACTCGAAAAGATTTGCTCAGTTGGCTCAGGTGAAGATTTTAATACCATAAGTATGAGTTAGAGTCGTGGTTTTTCTTTTACTTTTTTGGAGTCAGCTGTTCCTAAGGTGGAAGCTCCATATGTGTGTGGCCTTCAAATCCCACTTCGAGGAAACACTCAACCCCTCCTCTGAGAAGCAAGTCGTGTAGAGCTGAACTTCCAATTGGATAGCCCACCATGTTTCCGATGTTGAGGGTTCTATGTAGCAGTGGGAATGTTCTGACAAATTTCAGCTGAGGCCCAAGAGAGGAGGCAGGGTGGGCTAAGAATGGCCACCATCTGGGAAAATGAGTCACCCATCAGCCAGACACCCATTTTCAAACCCATGGAATACTCGTGAAAAAGATTTATATAATTAGAATCTGATGAGTGATAAAGTTATGTACTTCCAAGAACAGAATGAAATATGCCTTCTCTAGTTTATTTACTGTTCTGCTTACATTTTTCTTTTTAATTTAGATTTCATTTGAATCATTTTGAATATGTATTATAATCACATGGATCAGAATTCAAAAAGTACAAAAAGTGAACAGTGGAGCCCTGGCCAGTGTGGCTCAGTTGGTTGGGTGTTGTCGCGTGCACTGAAAGATTGATGGTTCAATTCCCATTCAGAGCACATGCCTGGGTTGCAGGTTGGTCCCCGGCAGGAGGCATGCAGGTGGCAGCTGACGGATGTTTTCTCCCACATCAATGTTTCTCTCTTTCTACCTCTCCCTCCTCTCTATAAAAATCAATAAAAAAAAAAATATTCTTGCCCTCACTGGTTTGGCTCAGTGGATAGAGCATCAGCCTGCGGACTCAAGGGTCCCAGGTTCGATTCCGGTCAAGGGCATGTACCTTGGTTGCGGGCACATCCTCAGTAGGGAGGTTGCAGGAGGTAGCTGATAGATGTTTCTCTCTCATTGATGTTTCTAACTCTCTATCCCTGTCCCTTCCTCTCTGTAAAAAATCAATAAAATATATTAAAAAAACAAACAAACGAAAAAAACAAAACTCTATTCTTAAAAAAAAAAAAAAGTGTACAGGGGAAAGTCTCTCTCCCATACGTGTACTCAGCCCTCCAATTCCTTTACTAGAAGGCAAGCAATGGCATCAACTTCTTATGGAATGACAATCTAAGGAAAGCAGGCTGCTGTACAAAATCATGTGCTTTAGAGCTACCCTGACCTTGGGTGAGTTATTTAATTTCTCTGAGCTTCAGTCACCTTATCTATAAAATTCTTACCAGATGGAAGTAAGGATTAGAAATATTGTACGTAAAGCACCTAACACACAGCCTGAAGTAGTGCTAAACACTGGTAGCTTTTGCTTTTGTTGTTAATTCTGTAGTACTGTCCTGACACAGATTTCCTGGTCATTATGTAAGATATTGCTTTTCTCCTAACCTCTGGGAATAAAATTCAATCTGAAAGGGTCAAAGCTGGCTTTTGCCAGAACAGTTCCAAATCAGGACCCAAAGCTGAACTTTGAGAAGAAGTCACTTCCTATTTTATTTAGTGAAATTACTACAACCTACTTTTAACATCAGGAAAGTTTAAAGTGGATTACATATAAATAAAACAACTTACCTTTCCAGAGTAAACACTTAGACATCCCAGAGCATAGACCAGGAAGAAGGCCTAAAACAGGGCAAGCAGAAAATGCTCATTAGAAACTATTTCACACTGCTGAGAAATTATTTTACAGATTGATTCGTTTTCACCTCAAATACAAATTAATGTTATGAATCTTCATCAAAATGGTCACATATTTTTAACAGAAATGGTTCATATAATCTTCAAATGTTAAAAAAAATCTAAGAAAATATGAATGTCCCAAACTGGTTTAAAATAAGTGAAAAATGCCCATTCTTGCCACCTTTACTCAACATCATACTAGAAGTCCTAGCCAGAGCAATTAGGCAAGAGAAAGAAATAAAAGACACCTAAATTGGGAAAGAAGAGGTAAAACTCACTACATACAGATGACATGATCTAATATATAGAAAACTCTAAAGAATCCACCAAAAAACTATTAAAACTAATAAATTCAGCAAAGTTGTAAGATATAAAATACATAGAAAGAAATCTATTGAGTTTCTATACATTAATAAAGAACTATCGGAAAGAGAAATGAAAACGAACACACAAACCAAAAACAATCCCGTTTACAATTGCATCAAAAAGAATAAAATATCTAGGAATAAATTTAACCAAGGAGGTGACTTGGTAATGGTTGATAGCTTTAATCCACATAACAATGCTTCTTGGAATTCTCATTAATTTTTAAAAGAATAAAATGGCTTGAGAACTACTACTTTAGTTTTACTCAGATCCAATCTAGAGATGCTCTGAAGATGGTGGTTTCATAGTCCCAATCATCATGGTCCACACACCACGTCCTGCCTGGACTTCTGCCAAGGCCTCTCTCTTCTTCCTTAGCACCTTACAGTCCACTCTCCACAGGAGCTAGAGCCATCTTCTCAAAACGTGAAGATTGGCCAGCCAGCGTGGCTCAGTGGTTGAGCATTGACCTATGAATCATTATGGTTTGATTCCCAGTCAGGGCACATGGTTCCAGGCTCAATCCCCGACTGGGGCGTGCAGGAAGCAGCCAATCAAGGATTTTTTCTCATCATTGATATCTCTCTCTCTCTCTCCCCCGCCCCCTTTCCCTTCCTTAAAAAACAAAAAAACAAAGCAAAACTCTTCCTTAAAAAACAAAAAGAAAAAAACAAAGCAAAACAAAAAAACGTGAAGATTCTTTCGTTTATTTGTTTGTTTTGTTAATCCTCACCCAATGATATTTTTTCCATTGATTTTTTAGAGAGTGGAAGTGGGGAGAGGAAAAGGAGGGAGACAGAGGGAGAGACATTGATGTGAGAAAGACACATCAATCGTGCACATGCCTCAACTGGGGCCCAGAACAAACCTGCAACCGAGTATGTGCGTGCTCTTGACTTTGACCGGAATTGAACCTGCGGGACAACGCTCTAACCACTGCGCAACATCAGTCAGGGCCTTTATTGCATTCCTGCTTCCCACCATCTGCAGCAGCTCTATGTCTGACCACCAGTCTCTCTAGCCGTCTTGGCTTCACTTGTCCCCTAAACACATTAAGCTCATTTCTGCCTCTGTAATTGCTATTTCCACATTTGGCATAAACTGCCCCAGACTCAAAGGTCACTTCTCAGAGGTCTTCCCCAACCACACGGTTTAAGTAACCCCCATATTGACTGTCTTCTTCAAAAGAGCACTTATTTTTGTCTGTAAATATCCTTCTTATGTGTGTCTCTACAAGTAGAATGCAAATTCTGTGAGAGCAGAAAGGTCTAGAAAGGGGTCTAGTACACTCTGGGTGCTCAATGCCTGTGCTGGAAGAATACAGAAACAGGTCCCTGGATCCTGTCCTTGGTTTAGGCCTAGAGCCACCTAGAGCAGGCCAGGCCCTCAGCTCAGTGTGGACACTGTTACAGTTCTCCTTTCAGCTACTGGTGACAGCCTTCCCAGGAGTCCTCAACCTTATTCTGATCTTTTCCCTTCCCATGGCCCCATACTTATTAATACAAAATACTTCTTTCTCTCAGATGGACACCAACAACGGCCTAAAGGTGCATGGAAAAGACCAAGTTGGTTCCTCAAACAGCCACGTCCTCCTGTCCCTTTCGTTTTCTCACTTCTTGGTTCAGATGGTGTAACAGGAAGAACGAGCTGTGAGATATGACGGATCTGGGATGGAATCTCATTAATGGCCAGGGCCTTGGAGATCTCACTTAAACTATACGACCTCACCTATAAAATAGGAATAATAATGCCTTCTTAAAGTTTTAATGAGATTAAATCTCATAAAAATTTAAAAAGCTATGCAAACACCTAACTGCTCAATTCATTTTAGTTTCCCTTCCTTTCTAAAAAATCATTCAGATATTGTAGGCTGGACAAGTTCCATCCAATTTTTGCCCAGCAGCAAACATACATTTCCCAAAGAACTGATGAAACCAATGCCTCATTTTAATCGGCCTAAAATGGCTTTCATGAATCCATGCAAACTGCTCTCAGGCACTTATAGATGGAGAGGATCTCATTTCAGTTGAGTTGGTTTTATTTAGAAGTAAGTCATCAGTACACTGGGGAGACCTGGGGAGACTGGCAATACTGTCCCTTGAGATCTCAGGGATCAGCTTTTCTTTGACAATACTAATAAGATAGAAGGATGAGTTTAACAATTATTTTAACGTTTCATATAACAGCAAAAGAGCTCTCCGCAACAGATCTCTGAGAAGCAGATCTCTAAGTCAGCTGTGGTATTACCATTCTCAATCCCTAAAAAGAACTGCTTTGTTCACCACAGCAGAGCTGTTAGTGTTCCTGACAGACATTTACGGAAATACATTAAACAGTGCAAGTGGCGTGCCAAACACGGGTGATTCTCTCTACGGCAACCTGCCAAACAGAACTGAGAAGAAGAACCAGGCTTAACTGCGTGCTCCCTGAAAACTCCCGTAACACGTTTCTGGAATGTTCTCAGGAGCCAAGCAGCTTCCAAGAATGCAGAGCAGTCTCATCGGCTATCTCCTCTTCCTCTTGCCTTTCGTCAGGGAGTGTTTGGGAGGAGGCTTTTGTCATTCAAAGCATCAACTGGTCACCCACCTGGAACAGTAAGGTTGAACCCCAGTTTCCACACCTGATGCCGCCTACCAGAGCCGAGAGGGTCTTCATGGCCTCAGCCCTCCAGTCCACGCTCCTCCTGATGCCAGCTCTGGTCCCTGCCACTCCCCTACATCCCTGCCTGTAATTCCCCGGTGCCACCACGACCAGGTCAGACCCCTACTCATAGATACGCCTACCACAATCTAGCCCTCCTGCGCTGTGCTTTCACTTCCGGGACTGAGCTGCATAAAGAGCCCGTGTCCATCTGGCAATCCCCTATTCATCCTTTAACATGTGCAGATATCACCAACTCTGTAAAATCTTTCCAGCTAGCACGTGTCCCTTTGGACTCCACCAGTTTCTGTGCAAATTCCACACCTCGTACACATCCATTTAACAAATAATTATTAAGCACCTAATGGATGTCAGGCATTGGGTACAAGGACACAAGAGGAGCAACACTGGGACAATATTTACATATCACACTGTACTTATCGCATAGAATTGTAATTACCATGGAGCTACCTCTAGGACCAGAGCAATATTCTATGTACTTCTGTATTATTAGTACTAAGCCCAGTGCCTGGCACAAAGTAAATACCCAGTGAATATTTTTGTAAAATATTGATTGCACATACCTGAAACTGAAGAGAAAGAAAACACATACAGAACAAATACATACAGAACAAGTGCTATGTTATTCAGAGATCTCATTTAAAAATGAACAATTTTCTTACACATTTCCCAGATTCATATTTGTTGGATTCATACTGTTAAAAAATAAATTTTTACTAATGTGATATTGTATACCAACTATACTTAAATTAAAAAAAATACTGATTGTGCCCTGGCTCGTGAGTCTGCTGGTTGGAGTGTCATCCTGTGCACCAAAGGGTCTTGGGTTCGATCCCCAGTCAGGGCACGTACGGGAGACAACTGATCGATGTTTCTTTCTCTCTTCCTCTCTCTCTAAAACCAATAAAAACATATCCTCGGGTGAGGATTTAAAAAAAACTGATTGTGAAAGAAAGTTCCAATTAGCTACTAAATAGCTTTTACAACTAACTTAATAATGATGATAATAAGAATAGCAGGCACTAACACTTACTGAGCATTTACTATATACCAGGCACTGTGCTGAACCCATTACAGGCATAATTTAACTTCCAGACCATCTTATAAATAAGGTGTTATATAACCCTCATTTTAGAGAAGAAAGCTGAGACTCAGAGGTCAAGCACCTATCCACAGTGCTGTCCAATACAGTAGCCATTAGCCACATGTGACTGTGATTATTTTAGTTTTTCCTTTTTATGTTTTTTTATTATTTACATATTTATTTATTTTAATCCTCACCTGAGGATTTTTTCCATTGCTTTTATTTTATTTTATATATATACACACTAGAGGCCCAGTGCACGAATTCGTGCACGGGTCGGGGGGGGTCCCTTGGCCTGGCAGGCAATCCAGGCCTATTGGGGAGCCAGCTGGCCTGGGGGGATAGGCCACGGGAGGTTGGTCAGCCGGGGGGTTTGAGGGGGGAGAGGGGCCACAGAAGGTTGGTTGGCTGGGGGGAGGGGCTGTGGGAGGTTGGCTGTGGGAGCGCACTGACCACCAGGGGGCAGCTCCTGCACTGAGCGTCTGCCCCCTGGTGGTCAGTGCATGTCATAGTGACTGGTTGACCGGTCGTTTGGTTGTAACGGTTGCTTAGGCTTTTATGTATATAGATATATTTTAATTTATATTTATTGTTGAAAGTATTACAGAAGTCCCCCTTTTTTCCCCCCATTGATCCCCTCTACCCAGATCTCACTCCCTCTCCAGGTCCATTGCTTTTAGACAGAGTGGGAAGGAGAGGGAGAGGGAAAGGGAGAGGGAGAGAGAGAGGGACAGGGAGACAAAGACAGAGAGAGAGAGAGAGAGAGAGAGAGAGAGAGAGAGAGAGAGAGAGAGAAAGAGAGAGAAAACATCAATGAGAGAGAGACATACTAATTGGTTGCCTCCTGCACACGCCCTGACCAGGGTCGGGGAATGAACCTGCAACCCAGGTATGTGACCTTGACCGGGAATCAAACCTGAGACCCTTCAGTGCGCGGGCCAATGCTTTAACCACTGAGCATACTAACAGGGCTGCTGTGTTTTAAATGTAGTTGGCACAACTGAGAAACAGAATTCTGAATTGTGTTCAGTTTTAATTAGTTTAAATTAAATAGCCACACGCAGCTAGTGGCTATTGTATATTCAACAGTAGACTAAGCTGTCTCATTTGTAAAATGAGATGAAGTAAATAATTCCAAACATCCCCTCCTGCTCTGAAAGTCTGTTCTTTGTATCACTGGCTTCTCTGCAAGGGAGGACGTGCAGACCAGGAGATCAAGAGGCTACAGAGACACAATTACTTCTCTGTGCACACATCTATGAAATCACCCATGTGGATGCATTTAATAAGCACTCCTTGCCACCTAGATATACGCCAAGAACTGTGCTAGGCACTGCAGAAGCTATCCAAGACCGGCAGGAGCGCTCCTGGAGAGGAGGCACACCCATGGACATGAGACTGAGGAAGAGGTGCTACCCTGAAGGGCAGAAAGGACATGTCTGTGTACAGTACAAATGTAAGCATAAGAAGGAAGGATTGGCACTAACCGGTTTGGCTCAGTAGATAGAGTGTCAGCCTGTGGACTGAAGGGTCCCAGGTTCGATTCCGGTCAAGGGTACATGCCTGGGTTGTGGGCTCGATCCCCAGTGCAGGAGGCAGCCGATCAATGATTCTCTTTCATCACTGATGTTTCTATCTCTCTCTCCTTCTCCCTTCCTCTCTGAAATCAATAAAAATATATTTTAAAAAAAAGGAAGGACTGAATGTCATGTGAACACAGTCTAGAGGAATTCCAAATCACAGGAAAAACATGATGCAGTTGTTAGAAAGCCACTTTTTAAGTCAACTTTTGAGAAAGCAGCTATTGTCTTAAAGAGAGCACGTATTGGGAATTCGCAGAAGGGAATACCCAGAGTTACTGAATCACATGCAGAATTGCATTTGGAGGCAGACTCTATAATCTACAGCAGGGGTCCTCAAACTACGGCCCGCGGGCCACATGCGGCCTGCCGAAAACATTTATCTGGCCCGCCGGGTGTTTTTGCCGCCGCTGTGTGCATAGGAATTTGTTCATGGTTTTTTTTTAAACTATAGTCCAGCCCTCCAACAGTCTGAGGGACAGTGAACTGGGCCCTGTTTAAAAGTTTGAGGACCCCTGATCTACAGTGTTGCCCAGTCCCAGAGACCAGTAGCTGGAAAGGAAACAGGCTGGCACATACCTCCTCTAGGCTGAGCTGCAAATACTCAAAGATCCTGTATGGATTTCTTCTGCAGATTAGTCTCTTCGTTTGTGCCGACTGAAGAGAAAGATAATACATACAGAACAAATGGAAGCACTACATTTTATACGAAGGATACTGCATTTTAAAATGAACAACTTTCTTATAAATTTCCCAGATTCACAATTGTTGGATCCACACTGTTAAAATTAAGTTTTTATTACTTATGTGGAAAAGTTTTGCTTCTCTACTTTAACATTTTATTTCCTTTCTTTGTGCCTCTTGAGTATTTCCCGTAGTGATCATTTTGTTGGTTGATTTTATGTGCTTTTTTTCATCGTACCTCGTAAGCATGTGCCTAGGTTCTTAATGAGCCATAAACCTCACTCGAAAGGCTAGCTAATATTTCTTCAAGTGGGTGTTCCACATACTCCTTAACGATTAGATTGTTTCTCATGTTTGGCCATTACAGATAATTCTAGGGCAGCTCTGACAGCGTCCCCTAAGGAAGTGCCTGTTAACCTGCTTCCCGTGCTTCTCTGGTGACGGCTAACTTCCACACTTGCGACCCGCCCCTCGGCTGTACTCAAGACTATGTGCAGGCACCACTGCATTTCTCTTTCTCCCTAACAAGGGAGGATTATTGGACCTGCTTCAATTTATTAAAATGCTAAGTTATTCACAAACTTTAAGGTTTTAGTTGAAACAGCCCTCACAACTACTGATCCAACAGGGCAGGACCCAGTGCCCGCTGGCTCCGTTGGAGCGTCTGCAGTGTGGTGTCCTGACCGCCTCTCACATAAGCTGGGTGCTCAATATGGGACTGCTACCAGTTCCAAGCAAGGGACGTCCAATGAGCCAACACCTTCTATTGGCCAGAAGCAAATGGCTTTGGAAGAAGTGATTTATTCTCTTCTACTTACTTTCTCACGTGGGGCATCTTCCTTCTCGCTCACATCACACACGACTTCCTCCACCAGCACGTACTCATCACCGGGTCCGCTCGCTCTGGCACAGAGGGGACCCGCTCGCTGGCTGCTGTCCTGACTGCCACCCTGGGAGAGAACATCTTTTTGGCTACAATGGACTTGGGACAGAGGCACAGGGACCTCTAATAAGTGTTCATCCAAGCCGTTGGCAGGTAGTGGGCCATGCCCAGGGCCTTCCTGCAGGCAGTCTGATGGCTTGCTGGGATCCTCCATACCATCTGACTTTTTCAAGTCTCCATTCATCACAGAAAGTTCCTTTCTATCTGCTGTGGCTTCTATTTTGGAAACCATTTCAGAGTTCAGCTCATCATGCAATGGAACGTCTTCATTCTGTTCTATGCAAGGATGCTCAAGTGGTTTTGTGTAATCTTCAAGGATTCTGTGCACTGTACTCTCATCCTTCCCCTGTCTTCGCATGAGCTTTGTGGCCCATTCTACACTACGACGATACCTGCAAAATAGAAATAGTGTTAGCAACAACACTTTTAGAATAAAAAAAACAGACAAAAAAACCCCAAACCCACACACACAAAAAAGACAACAGAACATGTAGAAAAGATGAGAAGGTAGTAAGCCAAAATATTTACAGTGGTTTTTCTCAATGGTGGGCTATAGGTAAATGCTTTCTTTATACTTTTCTGCATCCTCTAACTGTTCTACAATGAACATGTATTACTTTTGTTTGCTTTTATTATAAAGCTTCACTTAACTTGCTGAATTAAAAAGAATTACCTCAGTTTAGCAAAGTATGACAATTTGTGTAATTTAAAACTGGTGGACCAAATGATTTTGGTAAATATAAAGAGAAAATGGCCACCCTTTGTCAGAATTTGTTCTGTATTATTTTCAATTTTCAGGTATTGCATTTTCAGATATATCTTCCATTCATAACATAAAGAGCCTTTGTCTAGTATTGGAAAGCAAAAATGAACATTTCAATATTTTTCACAGTACCTCCTAATATCTCCACTGCACATGAAAAAAAATGATTACGATTAAGTACATACAGCCAAGCATCCTAACAGAAAAGGCCCCTTCTTCCATAATAATTTTTAAACTATATTTTAATGAGAAAATACGTGCTTAGTTTCTTAAACTTGAAGGCAAGCCCTGAACACCTCCCGGTTACAGAATTTACAGCAAGACAACAGGGCTCTGCTCTGCCGACTGTCGGCACCTAACGATGCTGCTGGGATGGTGCATGGAACGTGAGGCCACGCCACGTGTGGGAAATCTGGTCTGTGGGAGGCCAAAGACTCCGTGAAACTCAAGCACTCTGGCCTCTACCTACAGCGATTAGTGTAAAAAGCACCCAAGAGGACACACGGCTTGTGAGAAGTCAGGTGTAATTTTAGTCTTCACCTTGAGTATTTTGTCTGCATAGGGATGTCTGACTCTGTCATAGCTTATAAACTGCTACATCCCACACACAGTTAAACAAGGAAGGTGGCTTCTGCAGTATTTGAAAAAGAGATCTGTGGCTGCTTAATCCTAATTCATCAGAAGAATCTCCAAACTGTCCACATCCTGTTTATTCTTCATGGGGATGAACATGCATTCCCATATATTGGGAACAGTCTCTTAGATTTAAAAATTAAAACCTGGCAAGGCTACTCTAACACTGAAAAAACAGGATGATGCAGCGATGACATGCATGGACTCTGGCTTGCACATTTTGTGGTCAGCCCTGATCCTGACACTTATAACTGTGTGACAAAGCCAATTACTTAACTTCTCTCTGTTTCAGTTTTTCCACCCATAAGATGGGGAAAATGGTACTACTGCCTCAGAAGGATCACATTATGTACTACTTTTTATACTCGGGGCAAAAAAATGTAGCTGCCCATACAACAGCGAGATGTCTTTCACCTGTATGAAAAGTATGGTCACTGGTGCATGCAGGGAAAACTTTCACCTGAGAGATCTAAAAAGAATCTCTGCTCTTCATATCACTTAAAGCATTGGTTTGATGCTTTTATGGGTCTATAAATCTTCATTTGAACACAAATTTTTGTGTCAATGTATATTTTTCTGGGGAAGGGTTCCACTTTTATCAAATTCCTTGACTCAAAATATACGAAAGAACCACAGAATGAAAGATTCAACAGTTCCCTGCTTTGAGCAGAAGATCTGGAATAGAGAGAGACAGCACACACAGGTCACTGCTCTGCTCTTTGCAAAAAAGTGGCCAAGGCAGATTGAGTGCAAACCCTCACTCCATCATGGTCTTGCACTAGTTACGTACCTTCCTAAGGTTCAGTTCTTCTGTGAACCAGGGGTAACTGTACTTCCCTCACGGGGTTGTTGCAAGGATTAAAGGAGACAAGACATGTGAAGTGCTCAGGATATAGCAAGTGCTCAATAAATATTTGTTCCTATATGATTGTGGGGTTTTAAGGGAGACTTGAAAAATAAAAATATTTTGACTCAATATGTATCACACTGAAATGCAAATGACATCTTAATGAATGGAGATGTGCACCTTAATTAACTGCTCTTCGAGGGCAGGGCAGTCACGTGGGGACAAGCATTGCACATCGCGCTCTGCAGCTGGCACTTCCGCGAATCTCAGCTAAGCCACTAGCACCTCCAGCCTCTTTTTGCTTTTCTGACAAATGCCAGAATCATGCCTGCATTTCTGTCTCAGAATGACCTGATGTTCATTTCTGAAAGCGCAAATGAGACAGTGGCTATAAAAGTAAGGAGAAGAAAGCCTCGAAGTAAGACTGATGATGAAAACAGCCAGATGCACAGATGACTAAGACATATGGCATATGGGTCATAGAACAGGTGTCCTCCAATTGGCTGGCAATGCCTTCAAAAGCCAAATCCTACTGCAATTAACCCCAAACACTGCTGGAGAAACGGCAGGAAAAGAAAAGCGAACATCAGAAAGGGGAGGGCGGCAGAAGGAAAAGGTGTCAGCGGCTCTGATTAGAAACGGTAATGAGACTGATGAAAAGCAGACCCATTTTAGGGCAGCAACACAGATGGTGCCACTTGAACACGCCTCAGCTACTCGTGTTTCTATGCCTTGAGCACACCTCTTCCATTTCCATAGAATGCCCTTCTCTACCATCTTATTGCTTAATGCCCCTTTATCACTGGGAGTTCACAGCAAACTGGTTTTGAGTCCGTCTGCTTAGGTCCAAGTACTGGCCTTAAGCAAGTTTAACCTCCTCTGGTTCTGTTTCCTCACCTGTCAGAGACAGAAAACAACAGGACCTACCTCACAGGGGGGATGGAAGGATTTATGGAGACAACGCATAAACATGTTATTAGCATGGTACCTAGCACAAGGAACATATTAAGAAATGCCAGCATACAAAACTGTATTATTCTCATTATGGTCAATTCCTTTCAGGCTCTGGAGCTGGACTTTCTGGCTTAATCTCATGTAATCTTGGGCAAGATAACTGCAGATTCCCATGCACGGGATGGGAATGACTACACCTACCTGAGGGGTTTCTTAAGAAGATGAACTGAGATGATACAGGTATACAGACCAGTAACTGGCACTGTTGGAGCAACCAGAACCCATTGGCCATAATGAGGAGGACGGTGATGTGGCCACAACCAGAAGCTAACATGAGGCGTGGGGGATCCTCCCCTCGAGCTGTCTGAGGGAGCACAGCCCTACGTGCCTTGATTTTGGATTTCTGGCCTCCAGATCTGTGAGAATAAATTTCTGTTCTTCTAAGCCACTCAAGTTGGTGGTACTTTGTTAGGGCAGCCCTAGGGAACTAATACAGGATCAATAACATTCTTGGAATATTACTCTGCAGAGGTTACAAGGGATAACCCTCAGGTAGGCGACATTCAGAAACTTACATATTCAAACTGGCTTGATGTCACATCACCTTTACTGCCAGCCCAATCAGGATACAGCTGAGGGGCAGGCTTCTCTTCTGTTTCTTGGTCTTAGTGTTGGTTGCAGCAACCTGCCTATAGGCAGCCCTCCTGGATGCGGGTTCTGCTAGGTTCTTAGCTAGCCCCTCCCACAGTCTGGGGCCCTTCCCCTACGCCCAGCCCGCAGTGTTAGCCAAAGCAGCCACTGAGATCTCCCTGGTGCCACTGCCTCCCAGACACTCATCTGGCCACGGGGTGACTGGGCATGTAAACAAAAGAGGCTATCAGATCCTGTCGAACATGCAGAAGCAAGATGAGAAATCACTGTGGGTTGTGTGGTTTTAAAGGCTTCCTAGAGGAGTTGTAACTCAAGCTCCTCCTCAGGGATGATGAGGATTTAGATCAGTGATGGCGAACCTATGACACGCGTGTCAGAGGTGACACGCGAACTCATTTTTTTGGTTGATTTTTCTTTGTTAAATGGCATTTAAATATATAAAATAAATATCAAAAATATAAGTCTTTGTTTTACTATGGTTGCAAATATCAAAAAATTTCTATATGTGACACGGCACCAGAGTTAAGTTAGGGTTTTTCAAAATGCTGACACGCCGAGCTCAAAAGGTTCGCCATCACTGATTTAGATGGACTAATGTAAGTCAACAAGATCCTAGCAAGGCAACACTAAGCGTTGGGGCTGCCAAGAGGAACCGACATGGTCCCTGCTCTCCAGGAACTGACTTTCTAAGTCTTGGTGTGCGACAAACCGTACAGTGAGGGGCCCCAAAGCAGACTCCATGGGAGCTGGAGGAATGACCCCCAACCCGGCGGAGGGAAAGGTGGTGGTGAGGAGAGGAACTCTGAGAGAGCGACCAGTAGGCCATGCGTGGAGTGTGGAGAAATAGCCAGCTGTGTGCATGGCTGCAGGGTGAGGGAGAAGTGTTCCAGGGAACAGCGTGAACAAAGCCCAGGGGAGGGGTCGCACTACGAGTGGACGAGGAAGAGCCTCGGTGAAAGCCTCTTCCTCTAACCCTGCAAGCGTAGAGCGAGGAGAGGGGTCAGGGCGGATGCCCACACAGCACAGGAAGCCAGTTGTAACGTAAGTCTAAGCACCTTAGCTCTTAAAGACACACACATTACGGGGTAGTTGTTCCTATTCTGGAAGGAATTCAACTGGCAAAGGCTTTGGTTCAGGATTATTTAAAAAAAATAAACTTCGTACATTTCAAATATTATTTGATTCACATTAAATTCAGACACATTTCAAAGACTATTCCAAAAAGAAAAAAAAAAAAAAAAAAAAGGAAAGGCATGAACTACCACATCAGAAAAGGTTTCCTAAAAATAGACCCGATTTAAGCCATAATTTTGACCAAGGCTGCAGTTGACCATGACTTACTTCTTTGATGTGATTATAGGCATATTTGTCTTCATATCTGTAACAACAAAGAAACAAAGAAGTTCTATTAATTCAGACAAATTTTCCTTAAGGAGAAAAAACACTGGAAACCTAGAAAACACTAAGAACATTCCAACATCCACAAAATCACACACCTAAAAGGCTGACTGTCCAACCAGCAATGGCAAACGTGTGCTTTATATGCCATCAATCCCTGCACTCAAACCCCTGGCAGGCGCAGCTGACCAATCAGTGCTCTTGCTGGGCTCAGATGTGACCTCGGCATCCTTCTCAACTCAACACTGCAGCTAAGCAGGATGGCATGCAGAGGAATCCTCCTGCCACCTCTGAATGCTCATGCTCTCAAGTTTCAGGTGAGAATACAGAGACCCTAAAGCTATACACTTTAGCCTCATTGCCCCGTGCTACATAAGCATCTGCGGTGAAAGCTGTGCCTGTAAGAAAGGGCTGTTAAAGTACGTTTCATGGTGGTGTTTGGGTGTGAACTTGCACATCAGGATGACTCTCTAACCAACTGAGCTACCCAGCCAGGGTTTTGGATATGGATTTGGGAGTTCTGGGCTCTATTTCTAGCTCTGGAATATATTTTATAAAACCCCTTTCTGGTTGGAGGGGTCTTTCCACCTAAAATGTTTATTGGGTCATCTAATGGTGTGGGTTTTAGACAACATGGATGGGACTAGAGGGTATTCTGCTGAGTGAAGTCAGTCAGACACAGAAAGACAAACACCATATGATTCCACTTACACGTGGAATCGAGAAAACAAAATAAATGAAAAAAACAAAACTGAAACAAACTCATAGATATAGAGCAGTGATTCCCAAAGTGGGCGCTACCGCCCCCTGGTGGGCGCTGCAGCGATCCAGGGGGGCGGTGATGGCCACAGGTGCATTTGTTTTAACTTTTTTTGTATTACCTTTCTATTCTGAGTTCAATAAATAGTTTCATAATTTCAAACTTCAATGTTTCTAATTTACACCTTTCTTTACTACATTTTACGAAAAAGGTAGAAACATTAATAAATATATCTTTCTGTTTAATTGCTATTAAAATTTAAAAAAAATTTCCAGGGGGCGCTGAGTAATATTTTTTCTGGAAAGGGGGTGGTAGGCCAAATAAGTTTGGGAACCCCTGATATAGAGAATAAACTGATGGTTGCTGGGTGGGAGGGATGTTGAAGGGCTGGGTGAAAAATATTTGTTTCTGTGTCTCTCTCCTTCTCCCCTCCTTTCTGAAATCAATAAAAAACCAACCAACCAACCACAACATAATCATCAGAAGACACAAAATGTCTTGTTGATTCTTCTTATGTCATCAGCACCACTGCTGATCAACGCCTAGATCTAATAATTCATTAGAGGTTGCAAAACGGTGACAATCTAATCCTACTATTTCTTCTTTAAAGACAAACCCCTCACTATGTGGCTACCCTAAGAACCAGTTCATACATTCCAGTTTTCAAAATGTTGTATCCTCCGCAGGTGACTGATGAATTTCTTCTGGCATGTGTCAGTATGAACGAAAGGATTCAAGCATTTTGGGGGTATTATTATGAATGAATACATTTTAAAATAAATTGTAGCATTATTCTTATTGATGCCCAAATGTTTCCGTGGCCAGTAGAAGCCTCTTTTGAAACAAGCCCAGTCGTTTATGACAGCTTCCTTGCTTCCTGGTACAAGATGTTTCATCTAAAACATCCTGGCTGCTCTTAACCACACCATCAAAATTACTGATTTGCTTAATTATACAATATACATATCACAGGCTCAGCACAACTGTAACAACACTACAACCCATAAAATACTTGCTGAAAACAACGTAAAGATTATTTTGTAGCTCGTTCTTGCTTTAGAGTACATGGCAGGTTGATTGCCCAATTCCTCAGGTCTGCCATCTGCCAAACCCTGACTCTGGGCCAGTGAAGTATCAGCAAGCGTGACGCAAGCAGAGGCCCGGAAAGCACGGGCACACTGGGGCTTGCTCTTGACCCTCCACCGTAACCATGAGGACATACCTGGGCTAGCGTGCCAGAGGATGACACACATGGCTCCCCCCAACCCCATGGCTCCAGTTGAGGCCATCCTAGACCAGTTGACAGCCAACCAGACTATCAGTGAGTCCAGCTAGATCCATTGCTGGACTAGACCCATTAGAGCAGCCAGCTGACCCATGACTAACGTAAGGATGAGCCCATCCAGCCAAGATCAGCACACCTACCCAGCAAACCTATAGACTTGTAAGCAATTTGGTTGCTACTGAAAGCCACTGAAATTTGGGGTGGTTTGTTCAATAACACTGTAGCAAGAGATAATTGACGTAAAGTCTATCCCATTAGAATTGAATAGTCCAATTATCATGTTTTGAAGTCATTCAAAATAGTTTCCCCCTTGTGGCTCTACCACCAACTTGATATACAGGCTCTTTTTTATTTCAAGACTCAGGGCCTCACCGATGGTCAAACTTTTGTTTCTCAGGGCCTCACCGATAAAGTGATATCTCAGTAGAGTTTTAATTTGTATTTTTTCTTACAATATAATGTTTTAAAAAATCCTTTCTAGCCCTGACTGGTGTGGCTCAGTTGGTTGGAGCGTTGTCCCGTGCACTGAAGGGCCATGGATTTGATTCCTGGTCAGGGTACACGGTGTGGGTCCAATCCCCGTTAGGGGCATCTATGGAGGCAACCGATCAATGTTTCTCTCTCACATCGATATTTCGCTCTCTCTCCTTCCTTTCTTGTTCTAAAAATCAATGAAAAGCATATCCTCAGGTGAGGATTTAAAAAATCCTTTCTAATTATGTTTTAACCTGATATTGGCTGTGTAATTACCATGAGACTTCCCTAGAGAAATACACTAAGATAAAAGATTTATAAATTAAAGAGGATCAGCAAGCGAGAACTACACACATTACTATGTTTTAACAAATACATCAATGTTAAAGTTATTGTTGTAAATTCTAACTCTAGAAATAAAACTCATTTTGCATACAGGTGAACAGGTACCTAATTATCACTACCTTCCACATGCAGAGTACTCTTCTAGGCAATGCTTAACAACAGAAAAGCCTGAATAACACTTTTGATAATTCCAGAAATTAGATAAAACGCATTTCAACTATAAGAACTTTTCACCTTTATTAGAATGATTCTAGCTACAATTTTTAGCAGTAAAATTGTCACTGTGCATCTTACCTCTCCACTAGAATTTTATGATATAATCTGAGGTGCAAGATAAAAAATGAAAGAAAATAATACTTTGCCAAAAGAACTGAATGACATGCAAGTTTACCTTTCCATTTAGCAACCAGCTTGGGATCTGAAATTGTGAAGTTTGGACGGCTTCTAGACAGAATTCCTTTTCCAAAATAACCCTTCCAGGAAGAGAGCAAATAAAGTTAGTTCACCTTTAGTTATCAATTTTTTAGCCGAGGGAGAATCACAATGAGTTAATGAAGTTTATTGCACTTTTCACAGCTTTACACCTTCCCTCTGATTATCTAATGAATACAAATGAAGATCTTAGCATTTTATCTCTGTGATAAGTTTCTAGTATACCTCTTTTGTCTCCTAACTATTTCAGTCTAGGTCTTATAAGCTGAAGGCAACAGGGCAGGCAGAGGCAGGGATTCTTCTTCATGTGGGTCAGGAGCATGTGTCTAAAAGCAGGAACCAAGTCTACCAGGTACAAAAAAGCTTCCTAGCTTCCTGGATTCTCTTGTACTCCTTCCTGCTGATTCCAAAAACAACATTAACCCCCCTCCCCCCATTTCTTAATTTAAGCCCATAGAAAACTGAAATTGAGAGAATAATAAAATGAATACCTTTTACCCTCATCTAGATTTAACAGTCAGAATAAATAATGTGTATAGCAATTTACAAAGCTCCTATTTAATGTTATGTATTACAAATGTGAACAGACTGCCTTTGGCCTAGACCTTCATCTCACCAAGGTCAATGCCACCCACTGTATCCCACTTTGGGAAGGCGGTTAAAACAAACATCCATATATGTACTAGAGGCCCAGCGCGTGAAATCGCACGGCCCTGCCCACCCGCCCGCCACCCCTCTGTGCTCACCGCCCTACCACGCTCACAGCCCCACCCACCTGCAGGCACCTCGCCGTGCCCGCCCACCCGCCCTGCCCACAGGCCGCCAGCCTTGCTTCGATCGGAGCCTATGGCTGCAGGGGAGGGACCAAGAGGTGCTCCATGCACCTCCTGATGACCAGTCGTTTGGTCGTTCCAGTGTTCTGGCCACTGGCCTTTTACACACACACACACACACACACAAACACACACACGTATATGTATATATATAAATCCTCACCTAAGGATATGTTTTTATTATTTTAGAGAGAAAAGAAAGGAGAGGAGGAGGGAAAGAGGGGGGGGGGAGAGAGAGAGAGAGAGAGAGAGAGAGAGAGAGAGAGAGAGAGAGAAAGAGAAATACTGATGTGAGAGAGAAATATCAATCACTTGCCTGACGAATGTGCCCCAACTGGGGATCAAACCTGTAACCTAGATATGTGCCCTGACCAGGAATAGGACCAGCAACCTTTTTTTGGTGTACAGGATGATGCTCCAACCAACTGAGCCACCTGGCCAGGGCAAAACCTATATATTTTATAAAAATATCTAAAGAGGTCACATTTATAGACCGGCAGTGGATCACTGGGTGCCTTAGGCTGGGAGCGGAGGAGGATTAAGTGGGATGGGCATGAAGGAACTTTCTGTGCTGATGGGAAGGCTCTAAAATGGGATTGTGGTGGTGGTTGTGCAACTCTATGAATTTGTTAAAATCACTGAATTGTACACTTACAATGGGTGAACTTTATGGCTGTAAATTATACCTCAATAAAGCTGTTTAAAAAGTGGCCCACTGATGAACTGGCAATGAGGGGCAGGGAGGGGAGCAAGTTACCAATCTCAACCCAAACCTATCATCAATAGAAAACAGCAAAAACCATACAACTTGTCCTCATCTAAGAAGAAGTCCCCAACTCGAGAGAGAGCAGGTGCGGAGCCAGGGTACATGCTGAAACCTCATCTGATCTGTCCATGAGCCAGGACAATATGCCACTCTGGTTACCTCTGGGGATGGAATGGAAATAAGTGGGGAATTTTAACTTTTTACTCACTGATTTAATTTCTATAAACTGCTTGATATTTTTTTAATATATTTTATTGACTGTTTACAGAGAAGAAGGGAGAGAGAGAGGGAGAGAGAGTTAGAAACATCGATGAGAGAGAAACATCAATTCAGCTGCCTCCTGCACACTCCCTACTGGGGATGTGCCCACCACCAAGGTACATGCCCTTGACCAGAATTGAACCTGGGACCCTTCAGTCCACAGGCTGATGCTCTATCCACTGAGCCAACTGGTTAGGGCATGATTTTTTTTTTTTAACACAATGAATGTGCATTGCTTTTTATAACTGAATGATAAGAGGGGTCAATGTTACTGACCCTACCTCATTGCTAAAACGTGGGTCCAGAGTGGGCAGTTATCCTCATAATATATGGCTTTAGGGCACTTGAGTCAAACTATAGTGTTCCTACAGGAGACTAAATAGCAAGAAAAGAATAGGGGTCATTTATGGTTTGCTTTGGGAGTGGATGGAGAGAAGGAGGAAGGAAGTAGCTCCAGGTTGTCAGGAAGTAGCTGTGCCAGGGCCCCTTGTACTTACTTTCCCGTACAGCTGCTCAATATCTTCTGCGTCCCTCACAATTACATTGTTGTTTATCATTTCAGCACGGAATATTTTGAAGTCTTTCTGACCAAAAGGGATTGGAAATGGAGACTCATAATTCTCGTACACTCTTCTTTTCCTCTTCGGGGCATGGAAAAAGGCTTCTGCCATTTTTCAAGTGTAACTGTTCTCTAAAGAATATAATGAAGAGAAAGAAACAATCAATAACTACACTGATAAAAAGTGTGAGTACACTTATGGTATACCTAGGCTCAGAAAACCTAGGTCTGTGGGAATATAACATATTTATAAAGCAGTGAACTAAAAGACACAGAGTCACAAGAATATCTTGTAAAAGCAGCGCAAGTCTTCATCTCCTAGAACAGTGGTCGTCAAACTGCGGCTCTCGAGCCACATGCGGCTCTTTGGCCCCTTGAGTGTGGCCACAAAGTTTCAATCGCACTGTACGTGCGTGCCCCGCACGTGGTATTTGTGGAAGAGCCACACTCAAGGGCCGCAGTTGCCGACCACTGTCCTAGAATATCTCAATTAATTCCTACAACAATGCCAAGAAGTCAGTGGCATTATTTCTAACTACAGCTGACAAGACTGAGGCCTAGGGATATGCCCCAAAAGTCACAATGCCACGCAAAAGTCTCCTAAAAGCAAGCACAATAGGATTCCTGCCTATTAGGATCACTCCCATTCTTTCACTCAGCCAATAGATTTTTACTCAGAACCTATCAGGGCCTCTTAATACAGGAGGGGCTGGGGATATAAAGATAAAACTAGGGAGACCCTGTTCCTCAAGGAATTAAATCTAGTTGGCACTCAATTTTAAAAAAAAAAAAA